AAACCTTGATAATTCGAACAGCGCAGGCGTGGCAACGTCACATTGCTCGAGATGCGGTTGCTGTAGAAATCCAAAATCATACATTTCAACTATCGTACGAAACATCTAATTACAGCTATGAAATGGCGCCAAAACGCAAACATATTGCATTATAAATGTAGAAAAACGTTGTAATTACTAAAAGTTTAAACTTTAAGTTTAAAAAACAAAGTTTATATACATATAAATATCTATGTCTAATATAACAGACGATGCAATAATTAATTTGGATTATTAAAGCTGTACAGTTTCGTAAAGGAAACTTTTGTGGCTGAAGTAGCGGATGATCGAATATTCTGAAATGAGTTGACAATTAAAACTTCTAATAAAAGAATGAACCTAGTCGTTAATTATTTGATATGATCAGTGTTGGACCTACCCCTAATAAACGAAGTAGCCCGTTTTCATTCGTTTATTGTTATTCGTGGTTATCTACATCAAAATGCAAAACCATCGACTTCTTTAGCGTATATACTTACTGTATTCATGTAAACAAACGCGTGACTAGAACAAAATGTGAAATCATAACCAGAACGAAGAATATAGCGCAAAGTAAATCAATATGTAACTAAATACTTTAGCAGCGTTATCGTGAAAGGCCTGTCATTTAACAAAACTAAAAATTAAGGTAACAACTAAAGTAGATATGCGTGTAGGTGGCATAGAATTTGAAACAAAGCAATATTGTTTCTCAATTGTTTCTTTCGTAACTACTTTTTCTCCTCATTAACAATTTTTGTATGTATTTTAAAGTACAAAACATTTGTTTTTGGCCGATTGTCAGTTATATCATTATGGCAACAGGGAAATTCAAAGTTTTATTTCCTCAATAAATAATAGAATTTATAAATTTCTTGACAGTATCCATTAAAAAACAACGCACTCTAAATGTAACAAATGACTATCAATTAAAAATAAGTACTTACTAAAAGCGAGCGGTGCGTGCTTTAGAGATATTATTCAAGGGTAATTTATAGGTTCGCGTGCTCGTCAAAATTTCTGTTACAAACCTAATAATAAACCACCAAACCCGATTTAATCAGGTTAAACATACAAGAAACCTTCAGAAACAGAGATATAAACTACCATAATGTGTACGATCTACACAATTAGATTTAGAAATACGAGCACGCCTAAAAAGTTTTACGAATATTTAAAATTTAACATAAATATACATCGTATATATTATTAATTGACCAAAAAATATTAACGGTAAGTAAAAAATTAAATACAACGAAATAAAATCAGAAGATTATTGCGATTTTCAACATACTAAGGGTTGATAATAAGTGATTCTGTACGTGAAATATCGCTTGAGTGCCTTTTACACTATTCTACCGGCTACCAGCGACTCGAAAACTGAACACAGGGATTATTCACTTACATGAAATTATTTCCCAAAACGTGACATCATCATTTGATAAATGCTATTTCTACAATGTCTTTTCTTATGGTAACTTTATAGCAATCAAGCATTGTAAGGTTAAGTCAGGGTAGGTTGATTTAGTTACGTGTAGATGGAGTTGTTTTACTTACTTTTGTTTTCAAACTTCGAAAACAATGCCAAAGAATGACTTCCGCGCCGATTATGTACACTGTATTACACCAGTGTCCGACCGAAATCGAAACTTTTTCAGATAAGTTAAAAATCTATTGTTTACTAAAATTTGGCTTATATACACTTATACAGACAATATTCCCCAAAACTAGAACAACCCACATCTACCTACCTAGGTCTACCTCTACTCCTCTTAACTCCTGTTTCTGCCTCTAATATGTCTCTGACTAGACCTTTATGCCTGAGAAGGTGTCCTACCCACTTATCTCGCCTATTTCTTATTGACTATCATACAGTACTCTGTTCTCTTATTCTTTCTAATAGCTCTTTATTTCTAACCTCTATCACCAGTATCCTCATCATTCGCCTATAACACCACATTTCAAATGCTTCTAACCTTTTCTTTTTCGCCGCGTCCACCGTCCTTGTTTCGCACCCGTACAGCGCCGCATACATACACCATTAACAATCTTTTTCGAATTTATAAATTAACCGATTGCGAGCATAGAAGTGACTTCGTTTTATTGGAGGCGACTCGACCCTGTGCCATCCTAAGCTTTACATCCCTACTGCTCCTTTCTTCCTGACTTATCTAACTTGCTAGATACCTAAAATCAATCACTTATTCTAATTTTTTGTCTCTTATCTTTATATTCGCTCTTTCCCTACTTTTCGTTCCTTTGCATACCAGTATTTTTGTTTTGTTTGAATTATATGAAAAAATAATAATTTATTTGAGATAAATCATTTCTTTTGGTATTACTGCTATAAAATAAACAAAAATTAATAAACATGTTAATGAACACGAACACTGTTTAGAACAAAAATTTGTCAATAATGAACACTTACATTATTAAAAAGGACCTCATTAATTGAGTATTTCAATTGAGTTTATAATCGCGACATATCCATGATTAAATTTAACATTCATTGAAATCTTTTAATTGCAGTTAATTGTAAAAGTATGATTACCTAATCAATAATTAACTTTAGTATTCGTAAATATATATTTTTATATTGTACGCTAAAAAAAGCACCGAGCGATGCTCGATAATTTACGAATGCGTAGTTCAGCTGCGGCCGAAAGTACGGTAGATTTTCTGCCTAAACCGAAACTGATGCCAAAGATTTTTTTGCCGAAACCGAAACCGAACCTTCGGTAGGTCGCTAATTATAACATACTATAATTTCAATTCAATGCAATAGTCGGACTTGTACCTTAAAAGTGAACACGAAATAAATCGCTTTTTCTGGATAAAAATTTTCATTTACTTAAAAATGTTTATCGCTTTGAAAAATTGGACCTTACCTTCATCGAAAAATAACGTTCTCATTTAACCTTTTTCGATTAAATTATTAGAAAAAATGCTATAGTAGCAAAATAAATAAAACATCGAAACAACTACCTTAAATTGTTTATAAACAAAATTCTTCACGCTTGTGTGCGTGCGCACAATTTTTTTAATAATGTACGTAATATTTCACTAATTTACATGCAAAAATTGGATCTAATCCAAACATTTTCAAAAAATGTCGATTTTCAGCTAATTCATCTGGTCTAATGCGAGCACGGACTAGTACAACGTATGTAACAAAATAAATATATATTTCTTTGGTTTATGATTTTTATTCGTTAGCACACAGCAGATTTTACTTAGATTTTCACATTTAACAGCAGATGAGGAATGGCAAAGGTTTGATAACTTCTCAGAATCCTACAAAGCACCTTATTTACGTAACTGAAGACAATAACACATAATACATACATATGTACAATGCAGACATGCACATGATGTACTTATCAAAGGCGCAAGCTAAAAAAAAAGAAACAATGGGTAATCTGTTGATTTATTCTAATAATAGACGATGATGTAATCACACATTTGTCCTAGCGGATATGAGATTCGTGAGAGGACTGAAAGAACAGCCACTGGTGGCTGCTCATGAACACTTCTTAGAAAAAAAAGACAACGTTTGAACGGAAATTAAAACAATCATTAGCCGACAAGAGTAATTTTTTCAGGGTCACATTCGTAAGTACTGTACTACTAGGTAGCATATGAAAAAAGATGCCAATAATTTTGGGAAATTCAAAAACGAAAATGTGCAATAACAGTATTTTCAACTGACTAGTTAAGGGGGCATCCATTAATTACGTGAGCTCTTTTTCGGTTATTTTAGACTCCCCCTCTTAGTAAGATTTGCCGGGACACCCCCCCACCCTTACGTAAGATTGACATTAAAAATATTTTAAACTTCATTTATTTTTATGATTCGGGAAAATAATAAATCGTTCAGGTATACTATAGTTAATTTATTTTCAAAATATTTTTTTTCATATCTGTAATTTTTTGAAGTTGACGTGAGATTTTCGATTATCCCCCCTCGGTTTAAATGAGATTTAGTGAGATTTCGTTGGACCCCTCCCCCCCTATTCTGAGCTCACGTATTTAATGGATGCCCCCTTACAAAGTGATATTCTGACTAGCAACTGCTTAGCAATCTTTTGAATAAGTATGACTCCTAGATGCACATTTACTGTTAAAAAAAGGGGGAAATCGTTTGAAAATTGAAAAATAATGAAAACTATAAATACGTGTCTGTATAAAATAATTCGAAGTGGCCTGTATTCTGTCGAAACTGTCGATCGTTTTGGATCTCATCAGCGCGTCGCAGACAGCTCCGACAGAGCACAGACCAACTTTTACCTGCTGTCTTAAGAGTGCGTTTTAGAAAATACCACAAATGGCGCGGTAAACGCCATCTGTAGTACGATGCTACATTTTAGGATTACGTATGCTCCAACAAGGTCCATTTAAAT